CCGAACGGGTGCACCTTTGAGATAGGTACAAGGCTCATGAAGTTATTTTGTTATCGATATCAACAAAAAACCAAAAATATCTCTCAAAATCAACAAAAAAAACTTAAAAAATCCCTTGGAAAATAACCAAAAAACAATAAAAAAAATCATTTAAGATCAATTAAAAGACTTGAAAAATCCCTCGAAACCAAACACTACTACAAAACTGGGTTTCTCGACAGACTTTTCAAGTCTTTTGGTTGATTTCAAGTGATTTGGTTAATTTAGGGTTTAGGATGGTTTATATTCTTTGTATTTTATAATATCTTTGAGTACCTCTCAAAGTTTATCAGATGCACCTTTCATATCCCAAAAAAATTACTTGTAAAAATCGATATTCATGCACAAGACCTTCCTCAACAACTCATAGGTCCACCCATGTCTGCATCTCTGGCGAACTAAATCAAGCCATGTCTGCTTCTGGTTCTTGTGGATGTTGTAAGAGGGTGGGTTTTGATTTGGTCTAGGATTTTTGATTCAGTTTATGGTTTTTAATTTAGTTTAGAATATTTTGAAATAACCTCATTTTGTACAATGATCCGGTGATATGAACTCAATCTGTCTGTACACATGTTTCTTCTTCGATACACATTTCTTGTTGTGCTGAGTCGGTGGCTTGTGGTTGTGCATGCGGAGGGTGTTGATGGATGATGCGTGATAATTAAACCGCGCATGGTGGTAAAAAATAATAATAATTAAGAAAATATCAATAAGTGAACATCAGCGCCACCTCATCGTCATGTCATATTTCAAGAACAAAATAACCATAATTATCCTCATACAAGTAGACTTAAAATCTTAAAGCATGAAGGATCAAATACAGCCAATAAACACGGTTTTTTTTTTTTTTTTTTTTGTAATAAATGAACTATAATAATCAAAATGAAAAAAACTTGAAAACTATAGGGACTAAATCTGCAATTTAATCATATTACAAGGTTGCCTAGTGCATGGTCCATACCATTAATGTCGTTTTTACGTGGACCCTTCCATCGGTCCCGATACTATTTAGCTTCTGGAATTATATATGTTCACATGCGTCAAAAGGATGTATGATAAGATGACGTTAAACAAGTTACAATCAACAACAAAATTTCACCTACCACAATCCAAATATTTAGGTGATTAAAAATACAAGTATAAAATTTTTTAAAGTTGAATAATTTATTTGAATCAAAACAGTTTTAGGTTATTTGGTTTTTACCTGAATATATATATATATATATATATATATATATATATATATATTCAAGTGAAAATCAAGAGAGATCTGATTAGTTTGTGGTAATTGTGAGATACAATTTCAACCACAAATCAACGGATAAATTATGAAACTAATAATTATGGTAGTTTGAGTTAAAATTATAATTAGAAAACATTTTAGGTATTTTTAAAAAACTCCTCTCTCATCTCTCATCTCTCCGACCTCCAATCTCGGGCCTCCGGTGAACATTAATTCGGCAGATACCAAGTAATCACAAAGATACACAATGTGATACCCATTGTGATATACTGTGATACCATTGTGATACCAACTATGATATCAACTCAAACCTTAAAAACAAATATACACAATGTGATACTCATTGTGATATACTGTGATACCATTGTGATACCAACTATGATATCAACTCAAACCTTAAAAACAAAGATACACAATGTGATATCCATTGTAATACACAATGTGATACTCATTGTGATATACTGTGATACCAATTTCACCGGAGGCCGGAGATTGGAGGTCGGAAAGATGAGAGAGAAGTTTTTAAAAATACCTAATATGCCTTCTAATTATAATTTTAACTCAAACTAACATAATTATTAATGTCTTAATTTATTCGTTGATTTGTGGTTGAGATTGGACATCACAGTTACCACAAACAATTCAGTTCTCATTTGATTAGGCCTATATATATATATATATATATATATATATATATATATATATATATATATATATATATGAGTTTATTGGTGGTCGAAAACTCTTAGAAGATGGAGTAGTTGGGAGCACATGACCATTTGAGCTGAATGAAGAGACGATTTAAGGGTAAACTCTTTTTTTTTGAGAATTTGGTTTCACTCGGATCTTTCCCCACCTAAAAAAGAATGTGTCCGTTATCGATGATGGTTAGGATCACTCGGTGTTTTTGAGATGGGTCATGGACCAGACCTAACATATTTTTTAGTCCGGTTAACATAATATATTAAACTCAAGTCCGTTTTCAAGGGGTCTTGAGAACTTGCCCACACCTATAAGCAAGTCGTACTTGCCAACGGGTTAACGAACTTAAAAAGTTTACATTTAAAATGACTTACAAAGTGTTCATTCCCTACCACATGCGACGAGATTTAGGGGTTGTTTACCCAGTAAGTACTTAACTATAGGAGTCAACACTATAATTTACTTTGATGCGTAAGATTTTAATACATCAAAACGTATCGAATGCAACAATTTATCGGGTAAGAGTCGTCATCTTCACTTACCGGGTAAAACTCTCTATCCTTATCATTATTCTTACCCGGTAAGATTCTTAACCCTTGTCATGTTCATCCGATAGGAAAATTTATACAATAAACACTTATCAAGTAAATGGCGTCTTACTTCCACCGAGTATTTTAAAGTCAAAGCCAGAATTTAGTAAATATATTAAAAGAAAAAATTACGAGTGGACAGGTTGGAGAAATTGTGACACTTTATGACATTGACGTTAAATAATGAAGGATGTAAAAAAGAAAATGAAATGAACAGTTGCTATAAATGGGAATGGCAAATTTGAGAGTAGACAAACACAGGGCCGTCCCGGGGAGGGCGGGCAAGGCGTACGTTCATGGCCCATAAAAATTAAGGGTCCAATTTTTTTAAATATATATAATAGTAGTTTTAAAAAAAATTAGTAAATAGAAAACACATATAAAGACCCAAACATGTATGAATTAAATATATTAGAGAAAAAAATACATAAAGATGTTAATCAGTCATTCATTATATAATATTATTTAATGTTTTTCTAAGTTTTTTAATTTGAAACCGACGTCTAAAACTACTTGCTTCGAAAACTTTGATATATTCTCTATAATTTATATTCCATCGACTCTTTTGATTGTTCCATTCTCGCGTGAATTAGATTTTTATATTAGAATATGATATTTTTTTTGTTATTAGCTAACAAAACTCTCATCTTTTGAAAAAAATTACCAACCATATAAGACGGTACAACTTATATCTATATTTAGAATAATAAAATTATAATTGTGTTTGCATAGTTGTTCTTTATTATCTAATATTTATTTTATAAATGTTATGTACTATTCTATCTTTAAAAGAAGAATAAGATCTCAAACTATCACCAACATGAGTTTTTTAATTGATATAATTGATGATTTCAGAAAAGTTTGTTTTAACTCTAACTCTATGTTCTTGAGTCTTCTTTTACGTAGGAAAGAAAGAAAAATAATGGGGGAAGAAAAATATTTTGTTCTTGAGATTTTTCAAGGAAAAGAAAAGAAAAGGAAAGGCAAAAAAATTATATCGAAATTTATTTTTATTTTATTATTTTTCCTTCATCTCCCTTCTCTATTAAAAACACAAATAAAAAACTTTATTTTTTTTCTTTTCTTTTATTTTTCTTTTCTTTTCTCATTCTTTTTTTCCTTCCCAAATTCAAAAACATAATATAAAAGTTTAAAATAGTGTTAATCTTCTCAAATTCGAAAACATAGTATAGAAGTTTAAAATTGTGTTAATCTTCCCAAATTCGAAAACAAAATATAAAAGTTCAAAATGATGTTAAAAAACATTAACATGAGATGAGATAAGATGGAAAACCAATCTATTTACATTGATTTACATAGTGTCACTCAGAAATAAGAAGAATCGACTTTGTGACTCCAAATGATATCATTATATGTACCAAAAGTATATCATAGGATGTTTTTGATGATGAAACAAATTACTAATACTACAAAAAAATGTTCTAGAAGATAATATTAATTTAGAAATGAGTATTGATTGACTTTGCATCCAGGAATACTTGGAAAAACGGTTTTATATGAATTTAATGTTATTTCTGATGATAAAAAACAATATATTGAAAAAAATATCATATTTATTGAGGGTCCCTTTTTACATCTCGCTCAGGACCTAAAAAATGTCAAAAACGGGCATGGACAAACAAACCAACTTCAAGATTCTCTCTTACTGTTTTTGTTTGTTTGTATTAAAATTTGTCACATCTTAAATAATTTACAAAAAACTCTACCAATTTAAATAAAAATAAATCAACTTTAAACATCAAAAAAAATCTAGTCGAATGATATTTAACGAAAAATATTATATCTGTCCTTCTCAAGAAAGATAAAAAAATTTCAGAGTCCAAATTTAAAATGGCATCTAAGAGGTATGAGATTTGCACCTACTTTTAAACATGCAAATATATATATATATATATATATATATATATATATTATATGTAAGTATGTATATATATATATATATTATATGTTTGTATGTATATATATATATTATATGTTTGTATGTATATA